GTAGCAAACAGTACATGGTCAATTTAGACAAAGGAGTGAATCGGTTTTTTTAGCATAGTTCATCCTTGGTTATGCTGTCTAGGACTGTTGGGAATTCTAGTTCAACAACATCTCCAGGCTCACATAATTGCTACTCTTGGTTTTATATAATTGCTTGTTATAATAGGTTATATTAATTTTCTGGGCTTATGGCCATGCTCCCGAAGCATTCTTTCCTGATGTTTCACCCACACCTATGTCAGGCACCTTCAGAGGTTGAAGGGTCTGTTGGAAACTAAGCAAGTGAGGTTTATATATCTGTGGAATGACCAGGATGGGAGAAAGAACTCTTGTCTCTCTGAGGCAAATGTGAATGTTGTGATTGGCCACCTTGATTAGCATTGAATGGCCTTGCAGCTTCAAAGCTATCAGAGTCCACACTGCCATATAAGTAGTTCCATGTGGATTTTACACAGCTGTGTGGAAGGGCCTACATTGCCATATAAAATGCAGATTATCTGTTTTGTTGGATTATCTGGCAGTGTAGACTCATATAATCCAGTTCAAAGCAGTTTCTTCATGTCAGGAGTAACTTGAGAAACTGTAAGTCGCTTCTGGTGTGAGAGAGTTGGCCGTCTGTAAGGATGCTGCCAGGGGATGCACGGATGTTTTACCATCCTGTGGGAAGCTTCTCTCATTTCCCCGTATGAGAAGTTGGAGCTCACAGGAAGAAGCTCACCCTGCTCCCCGGAGTTGAACTGCCAACCTTTCGGTCAACAGTCCTGCCCACAAAAGGGTTTAACCCATTGCACCACTAAAGGCTCCTGTTCAAAAGTGGATTATCTGTTTTGATAATCTTGATTATATGGTAGTGTAGATCCAGGCTTTGTTCCATTCTGCCCTAGTCAAAGGTCTCCTGCCATAATATAAGGCACCTGTGGCTTTTTCATTTGTTTCCCTACCTTTTTGGCAATTTTATGTTGCTCCTCCTACCAAGGTTGCAAAGCAAATTAGGCAGTAGTTTTATTTTATTTCATATCTTAACATGCAAAGTGGGAAGCATAATGTTTCAAAATCACATGGCTTTGATGCTTCTTTTACTGCTTTGGCTCAATGGTATTGAATCATAGGTGTTGTACATGGACCCCCATCTACACTGCCAAATTAAGAAAGGTGTTTTAAAAGTGCAAGCTTTTATTGCACTTTATTGTTTCCAAGTGTTGCTTTGGGGAAAAGGGAGACCACTAGTGGCTGTTTTTAATAGGACACACTGAAGGTGCCTTTTTAGAGTCATAGAACTGGAAGAGACCTTGGGGGCCATCCAGTCCAGCCTCCTGCCAAGAAGCAGAAAAATCTTGGTTTAAGACGATTTAAGACGTTAGCATGCTGGCTGATATCCAAACAGAGGATGGACTGAAGCTGTCACTGCCTTGGTCTTTTCATTATTGGCAGATATCAGGTGACGCAATCCCAGCTGCACATTATAATTTTTCCATTGGTGTAGGACATAAACATCCTGTGATAATGCGGCATGTCTCATTAAGAGCCACATCCATGACTCTAGACCATGGCCATATAGCCCGAAAAAACCTACAACAACCCAACCACATCCATTGTTTTAGTGTGGTGAGATGTGTTCCACACTGGGCATGCATATTCAGCAGCAGAATTACAAAGCGCAAGGACAGATGTCTTCGCTGTGTCTGGTTGTGATCCCCAGGTTGTGCCAGTCAGCATTCATATGATATAGTTTCTAGCACCCACTTTTTGCTTGATATTCAAACAGTGCTTCTTGTAGGTCTTGTGACTCACAAGTATTTTGGTGTGCTGCAATGCTCCAGTGGTATTCCTTCCCAGGTAATCCTCAGAACTCGAGATGCTTGTATGTTCTTATGATGGAAACTACATGCCTGTGTTTTAGATGGATTAGGAATCAGCTGGTTTTCCCTGTAATAGGCAGTAAGAGCACCTAAAGCTTCAGAGAGCTTCTGTTCAACCATTTCAAAGCTCCCTGATTGAGAGGGGAGGACGCATTCATCAGCATAGATGAATGCGTCCTCTGGCAGTGGCTGATCATTTGTGTAAATGTTAAACATTGAAGGTACAAGCATGCTTCCCTGAGGCAGGTAATTCCCTTGTTTTTGCCATCTGCTTCTCTGGCCCTGGAATTCAACAAAAAAAGCTCCTGTTTTATAGCGGATTTCTTACGAAGCAGGTGAGGTGGTAGTCCTTTGTGATATTATAAGTTTTTCTCAGGAGGAGGCAATGATTTATAGTGTAGTAAGCTGCTGACAGGTCTATGAAGACAGCTCCTGTAATCTGTTGCATTTCAAAACGATCTTCTATGTGCTGAGTCAGATTCAACACTTGTGATGTGCAGCTTTTGCCTTTCCTGAAGTCAGCTTGCCGTGGAATCAGATATTCCATGCAAAATAAGTCTCTCGAGAACTTTGTAAAGATGGCACAGCAAGGAGATTGGTCTATAGCTTTTTGGGTCATTACAGTCTTTGCCTGGTTTCAAGTTCCACTGCTGAACAGCTCTCACAGTCAGGAAGATGTTCCTAATGCTCAGGTGGAATCTCCTTTCCTGTAGTTTGAAGCCATTGCTCCGCATCATAGTTGCATATTAATTAACTTCAGAGGGCCCTTTCACACAGCCCTATATCCCCAAATATCAAGGCAGATACCTGCTTTGAACTGGGTTATCTGAGTCCACACAGCCATATATTCCAGTTCAAAGCAGAAAATGAGGGATTTTATACAGCTGTGCAGAAGGGACCTTGTTTGTTGTTTATTTATTCAGTTGCTTCCGACGCTTCGTGACTTCATGGACCAGCCCAAGCCAGAGCTCCCTGTCAGCTGCCACCACCCCCAGCTCCTTCTGAGTCAAGCCAGTCACTTCAAGGATACCTAGAAGGGACCTTATTGACTGAATAAGTGTTGAATAAATGGCCGTGTATTTATTTACTTATTTACAATATTTGTTTACTGCCTATCTCAGGCCGAAGGCGACTCAAGGCAGTTTACAGTTGGCAACACAATACCATAAAATACCACAATACCATAAAATACAATTAAAAACATTAGCATCTATATAAATAAAAATGTTAATGTTTGTTTGTGGGCTTAACATAACTAAAAAACCACTGGAAGAATTGACAGCAAATTTGGATACAATATATCTATTCAGCCAATGAGTGACCGTCACTAGGCCTGGGTAACAACGGAAAAATTTGTTTCTAAAATCGATTCGTTTTTTGGGGGGTTTTGCATTTCGATATATAAAAGAATTCCGAAATTTTTCTTTTAAAAAGTTCGATATTTACGAAATTTCGTAAATGTTAAAAAAAACGAAACATTAACGAAACAAATACAAAACAATAACAAATCGATTCGTTAATGGCGGACGCGACCGCGCAATACGCTAAAAAACCTCCAAATGGGACAGGGGGAACTTCTGAAGCTTCCCTCTCCCTCTGTTGTTGACTGTTGGTGTGATATTATAATTTTTTTTCACTAATTAAACAAAAAACAACTATAAAACTTGCCCCAGACATGCGGAAATAATAACGAAACGACCTCAAACCGATAACGAAAACGAATACATAACGAATCCGAAGCATTTACGAAACGAATTTAAAAATTCGTTTCGTTTTTAAGTTGCTCCAGAATGGTTCGTTATCGCTTCGTTATCAAAAAAAATAACAAATTTTTAACGAATTACGAATTAACGAAACGAAACCGCCCAGCCCTAACCGTCACATATAAAAAAACTGAAAAACACAGCTGAAAAACCCCAAAAAATGCATTACAACGCACACACAAAACCATACATATATACACATATACACAAATATACACACACACACATATATACACATATATAGCCTGGGCCACAGCAACGCGTGGCTGGGAATGGCTTTATTTATTTGTCGTGTCAGGGCAACCAGTCAATTATATTACATTTCTAACAACAAAGCAAACAAATAGACAAAATACAAAATTTGGGAGTTTGGTAGCTGATTAAATGTCCTTTGACCAGTCTCTGGCCACTTGGAGTGCCTCTGGTGTTGCTGCAAGGAGATCCTCCATGGTGCACGTGGCAGGGCTCAGGTTACATTGCAGCAGGTGGTCAGCGGTTTGCTCTTCTCCACACTCGCATGTTGTGGATTCCACTTTGTAGCCCCATTTCTGAAGGTTGGCTCTGCATCTCGTGGTGCCAGAGCGCAGTCTGTTCAGCACCTTCCAAGTCGCCCAATCTTCTGTGTGCCCAGGGGGGAGTCTCTCATTTGGTATCAGCCATTGGTTGAGGTTCTGAGTTTGAGCCTGCCACTTTTGGACTCTCGCTTGCTGTGGTGTTCCAGCGAGTGTCCCTGTAGATCTTAGAAAACGTCATTATGGTCCACATGTGCATAATGGTCCGCCAAGTGTAGTTCCTGGGGATGGCTAGTATAATATAAAACCATACAAAACCAATAAAAGCATATATCATCAGCGTCTCCTTGTTAAAAGCATTGCCCAGTCAACATTTGTGATATGTAGATAGCAACAAAGTTTTTAGCCTTCCCAACCAAAGAGTACTGGTGCTCGCCCCCAAATTGCAGCTCCCAGGGCTCCCATAGCATTGAGCTATGGAAGTTTTGTTTTTGTGTCGTGTCAGGAGTGATTTGAGAAACTGCAAGTCGCTTCTGGTGTGAGAGAATTGGCCGTCTGCTAGGACGTTGCCCAGGGGACGCCCAAATGTTCTCTCTTGTTCCCGTATGAGGAGCTGGAGCTGATAGAGGGAGCTCGTCCGCCTCTCCCCGGATTTGAACCTGCAACCTGTCGGTCTTCAGTCCTGCCGGCACAGGGGTTTAACCCACTGCGCCACCGGGGGCTCCACAGCTATGGAAGTGAAAGCCTTGATCCTTCCCCAGAGCTCCTGATTTGTTTTACTGTAGGGGGCGGGACCAAAGCGGCAACGGACAGCCTGTGCAGCCAATCACGCTCCTCGGCATGTTTGCTCCGCGCTGGCCCTGCCTTCCTTCCTTTCTCAATGGCGAAGCGCCTTCTTAAGCGGCCGTCTCCTTTAAGGGGCGTCTTCTAGCAGCCTTCCCCGCGCCGGAAGCAGGCAGGGACGTCAATTTCAGCCTGGTAGGAAAGGGTCCCCCCTGTTGCGGGCCGGAGAAGGAGAAAGAGAGAGAAAGAAAGAGAGATCAAGGCGTTTGCTTGGAGGAGATGCCGGGACGGAGCCGGGCTCTCTGCTTGGCCAGACAGTGAGTAGATCAAGGTCTCCCTTTGGCCGAGGCAAGGAGATCTCTGCGGGCGGGAGAGAGCTCTTGATCCCTCCTTTGCACGACTCTATGATCCGCTCTGCATCGTCACAATTCCCATCTCTTTCTTCTCTTCTGATTCCTTTGGGGCGCACCTCTCCACACTGTGGAAAGAATGCAGTTCCATACCGCTTTAACCACCTATGCAATGGAATCCTGCGAATTGCAGTGCAGGGAGCCACCAGCACTCTTTGGCAGAGAAGGCTAAAGAGCTTGGGAAGCTACAGTTCTCAGGATTCTGTTGCATTGAGCCTTGGCAGCTGAAGTGGTGCAGAACTGGATTAATTCTACAGTGTAGATCAGGCCTGGGCAAACTTGGGCCCTGCAGGTGTTTGGGACTTCAACTCCCACCATTCCTAACAGCTGGCTGTTAGGAATGGTGGGAGTTGAAGTCCAAAACACCTGCAGGGCCCAAGTTTACCCAGGCCTGGTGTAAATCCACGCTGTTTGCCTAAACCTCCCTTAGCAGTGGATTGGTGCATATGGGACACTGATTCCCACGTTTGCTGCCCCTGATTTATATTTAAGTCCTCTGTCTTTCGCAGGCTCTCTCCCCATAAATGACCTGAATTATATTTAGTTCAAGGAAGGTAACACTGTTGCCCTCCCTTGAGACTTGTGGCAGGAGTTGGAAATGGGTGATGATGGGAACACAAATACACTTTCCATTTGTATTCCAGCCGTTGCTTCATAAGCGTTGCTTTATACAGGACTTATGGCCAGCCAAATGGGCTTAAGCGACAAACTTAGGACAGCAATTGCTTGCGGTTCCCATTCCAGTTTCAAGTTATGGGTAGAAAATCCTATGGACTGATATGCTGTGGAACAGTGTTTGTCAACTTTCCTAATGCCGCGACTCCTTAATACAGTTCCTCATGTTGTGGTGACCCCCAACCATAAAATTATTTCCATGGCTACTTCATTACTGTAATTTTGCTACTGTTATGAATCATAATTGTAAATATCTGATATGCAAAATTTATTTTCATTCACATTTGAATGTTTTGTTGGGCTTGGCCTCATGTAAGCTGCTCCGAATCCCTTGGGGAGATGGTGGCGGGATATAAATAAAGGTTTTTTTATTATTATTATTATTATTATAAATACCCGATACGCCCAAATTTGAATTCTAGTGGGGTTGGGAGGGATTGATTTTGTCATTTGGGAGTTGTAGTTGTCGGGATTTGTATTTAACCTACAATCAAAGAGCATTCTAACTCCATCAATGATGCAGTTGAACCAAACTTGGCACACAGTACTCCCATGACGAAGAGAAAATACTGTTTTAGTGGACATTGACCTTGAGTTTTGGAGTTGTAGTTCACCTACCTCCAGAGAGCACTGTGGACTCAAACAGTGATAGGTATGGACCAAATTTGGCACAGATATTCGATATATTTTATTTATTTTATTTATTTTAAGTATTTATATACCGCTTTTCTCACCCCTAGGGGGGCTCAAAGCGGTTTACACATAGATAATGGCAAAAATTCAATGCCTTACAACTACAACACTAAAAACCACACTTTAAACATAAATCATATTAAAAACAGTACATCATCAAATATCAAACAGATATTAAAACCATAAAACAATCCCATCAGTCTAGTCGCCATTCCAGTCCTTCTCCAAAATGCTACATACATCTACTGTCCGAAAGTCTGGTCCCAGAACCATGATTTTTATTTTTTTCTAAAAGCCAGGAGGGAGGGAGCAGATCTTACCTCATTTGGGAGTATGTTCCATAGGCAGGGGGGCACAGCCGAGGAGGGGGGCACAGCTGAGAATACCCATATGTGAACACTGGTGGAATTTGGGGAACATTGACCTTTGGGAGTTGTAGTTGCTGGGATTTATAGTTCACCTACAATCAAAGAGCCTTCTGAACCCCACCAATGGTAGAATTGGGCCAAACTTCCCACACAGAACCCACATGACCAACAGAAAATACTGTGTTTTCTGATGGTCTTTGGCAACTCCTCTGACACCCCGTCACAACCCCCCCCCCCAGGAGTCCCGTCCCCAGGTTGAGAAACGCTGCTGTAGAATCAATGCAGTTTGATGGCACTTTAACTGCCAAGGTTCTATGCTATAGAATCATGGGAGTTGTAGTATTACAAGATCTTTAGCGTTTTCTGCCAAATGGGTGTTGGTGCCTCACTATAAATTCCATAGCATTGAGCCATGGTAGTCAAACTAAACCACACATTTCATTCAGTCTGCAGTGTCGATGCACCTTTTGACCCTGGGAGACCAGGGTTCAAATGCTTGTTCAGACATGGAAACCCACTGAGTGACCTTGGGTGAGGCACAAACTCAGGGCCCTTCCAGACAGGCCCTCTATCCCAGGATCTGATCCCAGGTTTTCTGCTTTAACCTGGATTACATGAGTCCCCACTGCCTGATAATCTGAGATAAACAGAAATCCTGGGACCAGATGCTAGGATATAGGGCCTGTCTGGAAGGACCCTCAGAGGAAGGCAAAGGCAACCCCACGCTGAGCAAATTTTGCCAAGATAACGCTGTGATAGCACTACCTTAGGGTTGCTGTAAGTCTTAAATGACTTGACGGCACACAACAACAACAGTGAATGTCTCCTTGGGATAAGCTGATTGTATCGACTTAGGTGCCAGCAAACACGTGATGCTTCCATCTGCTTGTACTTCTTTATACTGACTCGGATCACTCACCTTTCTAGCTCTAGCAATTCTCAGGGCATTTGATGTGGAGGACAGGCAATTATTATTTTTATCCCCCGGGAACTGGTCTCATATTTCTGCCCTGAAAACTCCTCCAGAGAAGCAGCAGACAATGGCTTAGATAGAGAGTGGCATCATGTAAGAAGCAGCACTTTGAAGAGCACTGATCTACATTGGTGATCCTCAGATTTTTGTCTTTGTGCGGTTTAGTTCCTAGAAGCCTTCGTGGTTGAGACTTCTGGGAGATGAAGACCAAAACATGTTCATATACCGTATATATTCAGGTATAAGCCAAGTTTTTCAGCCCCTTTTAAAGACTGACTCCCCCTCCCCCGCTTATACTCAAGTCAAAGTTATTGTTTTATTCTGTTATTATTTTTATTACATTTGTTATTTTACTCTATTATTATTATTATTGTTATTATTACATGAATTATTTTAATCTATTATTACTGTTAATATTACATTTCTATTATTTTACTCTATTTATTATTATTATTGTATTTATTATTTTACTCTATTTATTACTGCATTTATTATTTTCCACTATTGTTATTACGTTTACATTGTATTATTCTATTATTGCAGATATTATTTTACTCAATTATTATTACATTTCCATTATTTTACTCTATTATTTTTATTACATTTATTATTTTACTCTTTTTATTATTACTGAAAGAATATATAAGCACATTTACATTGAAGAAGGTTAGAATAATGGCTTTATCAGAGTTGGACAGTCCTATCTTAAATTGCAGTTTTATGTAAATATTCAAAAACATTTAAACTACTGATGCCTCAATGTGATCTTATTGGTTTCTATTTTGAAATGTACCAATAGCCGTGGCATTTCCCACCCTCAGCTTATACGTGAGTCAATACGTTTTCCCACTTCTTTGTGGTAAAATTAGGTGCCTCGGTTTATATTCAAGTTGACTTCCACTCGAGTATTTATGGTATTTATTTGGTTTTTCATTTTTGTATTTGCTTTGTTTTAATTTTTTAGATTGTGTCATATTATTGTGAGCTACTTTGAGTCCCAGTGGTGAGAAAGATGGGATAGAAATAAGGATAATAATAATAGTCATAATAATAAACATATGGATAGCCAGAGTGTGACAACTACTGATGTATAGTAGTAATAAGGGAAATGTTGGCAAGAATTCTCTTTCTAGTATAATTGTTGAGGTGATAGTTTAGGCTGAGAAATGTACAATTGGATAGTTTCGGCCTCTTTACTGGGCTGGGGATACTTCATAAACAACCTGCATTCTTTTTTTCATAATGCATATTTCTTGTTCTATGCAATGGCTCTTAAACTATTTTTGGCTTAAATTGCTTTGAGAACTGTGAAAATGGCTATGGCTCCCCTCTGAGAAATGCACTTAATGCACAATTTTCAAAGAAAATTGGAGGGGTAGGGCATGATTGACAGCTCTAAACTGAGGACTAATTTACTGCTAACCTTTCTGAGGATAAACTTATTTGAATGACTACTTCACAATTCCATCCCCAGATCTATCGTTTGTTCCGTTATCAGAATCCCTAGCATCTACACCAGATGTGGACCTGTTGTTTTTCTGCACATTGGAGGCCAGCATGGTGGACACAATCAAAGTAGACCTTGGGCATTAATCGAATCCTTGGCCCTCTTGTTGCTTCCATTGCCATATTCCATCATTTTTCTGAACCCGAATGCTTTCTTCATTTCCACTCTGCTCTTGCCAGACTACCACAACTTGCTAACTTCTATGTGCAGCAACTAGAATAAATTATATTATATTGTGCACACTTGTATTTTCCCTTCAGTAATTTGCAGAGGTCTTCTTTAACAGTGGATCTTCAGGCTTTTAGAATGTGCGCAGCCCTGCCTTTCAGCAGCTGAGTTCCTTCTGCTTTCTGTCCCTTCCCAGGTTATATTTGTAGTGTGCAACTAGAGAAGAGCAGATGCTGAGAGCAAGTTCTTGCAGCTGTCCGCTTCCGTCCGTTTTGGCCTACTATGATGGATGAATGGAAACCCAACCCACCAGCCAAGCCATGGAAGAAGCGCAGCTGGTTCCTGGCCTGGAAGTACAAACTGACAAACCAGAGGGCACTAAGGAGACTGTGTCAGGTGAGAACACATCCTGTCCACGCTTTCAAGTTACGAGTGTGATACCAGGGCTATGAAATTATAGCCTTATTATCCCATTTTGAGCCCCCAGTGGCACAGCGGGTTAAACCGCTGATCTGCTGAACTTGCTGAGCCAAAGGTTGGCAATTTGAATCTGGGGAGCGGGTTGAGCTTCCACTGTTAGCCCCAGCTTCTGCCAACCTAGCAGTCCATAAACATGCAAATATGAGTAGATCAGTAGGTACTGCTTTGGTGAAAAGGTAACGGCGCTCCATACAGTCATGCCGGCCACATGACGTAGGAGGTGTCTATGGACAACACTGGTTCTTTGGCTTAGAAATTGAGATGAACACCACCCCGCAGAGCCAGATATGATCAGACTTAATGTCAAGGGGAGACCTTTACCTTTTATCCCACTTTAACTGCAATGGTTCCAAACCATGGAGTCCTAGGATCTTCTGTTTCAGAGGGGAATCCAGAATTCTTAGCCAGAGCTTTGCACCAAGCTACAAACTGTCACCAATGTAGTTAAAGTGGAATTATTCTCATCAGAAAGAGAGGGCAGGTTATAAATCAAGTGTTGTTATTATATTATTATAATGATTGCCCAATTAGTCAATAGTGTGAATGGGCCACAAATATAATGGTTGTTTGGAATTAGAAAAGACTGTAGGATTCAGTGCCCCTGCATTATTTGGTGTGAGGAGGAGCCATATTAGTATTTTGCAGTAATAACAAAAGATCCTATGGTTTCTTAAAAGCTAGCAATTTCTATTTGCCATAAGCTTTTGGGGACTTTGCCAAACCCCCTTCATCAACTCTGATGAAGTGGATTAGAGTATGGGAAAGTTTGTGGCAAATAAAACATTTAGCATACTGGGTTGCTGTACGGCCATGTTCCAGAAGCGTTCTCTCCTGATATTTCACCAGCATCTATGGTAGGCATCCTCAGAGGTAGTGAGGTCTGTTGAAAACTAGGCAAGTGGGGTTAATATATCTGTGGAATGTCCAGGGTGGGAGAAAGAACTCTTTTCTGTTTGAAGCAGGTGTGAATGTTGCAATTGGGCACCTTTATTTGCATTTAATGGCCTTGCTGCTTCAAGATCTGGCTGCTTCCTGCCTGGGAGTTCATTAGCTGCCCCTGATTGTTTCTTGTCTGGAATTCCCCCGTTTTTTAGTGTTGTTCTTTATTTACTGTTTTGATTTTAGAGGTTTTTTTAATACTGATAGCCAGATTTTGTTCATTTTCATGGTTTTCCTCATTTCTGTTGAACTTGTCTACATGCTTGTGGATTTCAATGGCTTCTCTGTGTAGTCTGACATGGTAGTTGTTAGAATGGTTCAGAATTTCTGTGTTCTCAAATAATATACTGTATCCAGGTTGGTTCAACCAGACTACTTTAACCAAAGAAGTCAGCCATAACAGAGCACTTGATGAACCAACCTAGACACAGCATATTTTTGAGAACACAGAAATGCCTAGGTTCCAACAGACCTCTCAACCTCTGAGAATGCCTGCCATAGATACAGGTGAAACATTAGGAGAAAATGCTTCTGGAACATAGCCATGCAGCCTGGAAAACTTACAGCATCCCAGTGATTGTGGCCATGAAAGCCTTTGACAATACATTTTGCTTACTGATGTGATGCACTAAATTACGGCTCCTCTGAACTCAAGGAACTGAAAATATCTACTGGTAGCATGAACAGGAGGTGAGGATAAAACATGATTGTTGGTGTAATTGACCTACAGGAACAAATGTGATATGTATTGTTTCCCTTTAGAAAAAAAAATCCTGTGTTACTTTGCAAGCTAGCTAATTTATTGTAATTTGAACTTTTGTTCACACAAGGGTGCATGTATATGAAAGCTCATGTTATGCTAAGTATGGGTTAGCAAAATGCCATGGGATATTTTTATCTATTTGCTGCCATGGACAAATGCATCAACTCTTCCAAATGATTTTCTATGAATCATTTATCTAGTGTTTCGGGGGTTTTGTCCATTTAGCTCAGTTTACTTGACTGCAAGCCAGTTGCATGCACTTCAGAAAGAGGCATTTCACAAAGGGCTATTCTTCACTTCCAATGTGTGGGCTTGGTATGCTTTTACGGGCCCCACCTATTTCATCTCATAGACATCTATATGTTTGATGAATGAGTGGGGACTGATAATGCAACCCGTGTAAATGTCTTCTTGGAAGTAAGTCTTGTTCAGTACGATTTCTTCTCAGGTAAGCAAGTGTAGGGTTGCAGCCCCAGGAGACTGACCCATCAGTGCCAAACAGTCCTGATTAAAATGGGATTTGAGCTTGGGGCTGCTTGGAAGCAAAGTTACACTGCACTGCCTAGACTCACTGGGATTGTTTTTGCTCCCTTCCATCGTGATTTTCCCTGTGTTCCAGGACAAATGGCATTCCTACATGCTCAACACTGTAAATTCCAGACAAGAATCAATCAGGGTCAGCTAACACCTCCCAACAAAGGATTTCCCCAGACAGCAACCAGCCAGGCTTTGAAGCTGCACATCATTATATGCTAATCAAGGTGGCCATTTGCAACATTCACACTTGCCTCAAGCAGGCAAGAGTTCTTTCTTCCACCATGGTCATTCCTCAGATATATAAACCTCACTTCCCTACTTTCTAGCAGACCCCTCAACCTCTTAAGATGCCTGCCATAYATGTGGGCAAAATGTCAGGAGAGAATGCTTCTGGATCATGGCCATACAGCCCGGAAAACTCAACAACCTAGTGACTCTGGCCACGAAAGCTCTTAACTTATCCCCCCCCCCCCCCAATTTTAAACACTTTTCAAGTTAGTACAGTCAGCCTTCCACAAGTGAAAGGTGGTGAGTGAAGAATTTATTTATTTACAGTATTCCTAGCCCGCCTTTCTCGGGCCTAAGGCAACTCAAGGTGGGTTACAGATTGGCAACCATTTGATGCCACACATTCATAAAAATACAATTAAAACATTCAGCATAATATTATAAAAACCATTTGAAACATATGATCATTAGTGTCATCCTGTTAAACTAATTTCATTTATTTATTTATTTTTACTTGTAAGGGCACCTCTCTAGGAACATCTTGGTCTTCCATCATAATGTTATGGTCAACTACCACTGCAAGTTGAGCATAGACTCAAACTAGATGACTTAGAGATATCCAGAGAAGTGTTCTCACTGGAAATCTCTAGGCCCTCCAGCATGAGTCTGTAGTTAACTTCCAGAGAAAGATGCACTGGAAAATCTAGAGATTTTTAGGAAGAACATTTTAATCAAATACGCAAAAGTCAAATCCTCAAATGTGGAGATCCAACTGCATTTGCTTCATTGTCGGGTTCAATCCTCCAGGATGAATGCATCCGCTCCTCAGTTTCCATAGGTTTGGCACTTTTGTCCTTATGATTTTGAGCTTGTTAAAAGTAGCTAAAAATAGTTGTGGAACAGGGACTCATTCATCCTGCACAATCGCAGTGCTGTGATTCCATTTTAATTGCTATAGTTTCATCCTTGGTATCACAGTGTTTGTAGTCTGGCAAGGCTTTTTGAGCTCTCTGGCTGGGAATCCTAAGTGTCCCTTTTGAACTATAGTTCCCCACATTCTATTGTATGGAATCATGATCATTAAGGTGCCATAATTCTGTAGTGTGAATGAGTCCCAGGTAAGAAATAGAAGTATACTTATTATTTGGTGTTAAATTATTTCAAAATTGCAATTGAAAACATTTTTGCTTGGTGTCTAAAATCAGCAAAGCTATTATATCACCTGTGGGAAGAAATCTCATAGCTGATTCACCACTACCACATCAATAAATACAGCTCATTCAACTGAAATGTATCTCTCTCTAGCCATTGAGTCTTGATGTTCAGCAGAAGAGAAGTGCTTGTGATAGAGACAGTACATTGTGAAGCCTATTGAAGTAATCTGTTGTCAACTGTGACAGTCCTCATGCCTTTCAAAACAAATACCAAAAAATCCTTGAAGATTTGCAACATGGTATATATTTTCTTTCCACTTGTCAGTTTCTCCTTTCGCCTGTATTTTCGAAAGGGTTTCAAATGCAAGGTAGAGCAAAAGGGAAAAGGAAGGAAATGTGGCTTCTTTGAAACAGATTCTCCTCCTGCTTCTTTGCGATGTTTCTATTTAATTATTTCCCCCATATATTTTTAGCTGCACTAATTGGCTCACTGTTCCCTGTAGCATGGCTTGTAGGAGAGCTCTGTTTATGCAACAGGAGATTGCGGCAGAAATGCAAACAAATGAACACTTCCAGGAAGCAAAGCAGTATTCACGTTCACGTAACTTCTTGCTTGTTGAGGCTTAGATATTGAAAGTGATATAATATAATCACTGCAGTAAACATGGAGAAAGGAAAAGAGCAAGCAGGAGTCCATGCCTGGATGTAGCTGGGAATGATAAACTAGAGTACTGAAGAAGCTACACCAAAATTTTTTGACTCAAAGAGCCATAAAGCTCATTGGGTGACCTTGGGCCTCTTTCTCCCAGCCTGGCTTATCTCACAGGGCTGTTGTGAGGATTAAATAAGAGAGAGGAGATTCCTATATACTACAAAGAGATTATTGGAGGAATGGTGGGTCATAAATGCAATTAAGCACATATGTGCAGAGCATGGCTAGTAACATCCACTGGCTGGCAGAAGCAGGGGTAGAGGCAGGGCTGTAGCAAGAAAAAAAATTCAGAGGGGGTTTGAAAATTGGGGGGGGGGGTTTGAAAATTTCAAGGGGGGTTGAAACCTGCCTCTTAGCTCACACTGAAACAAAGAGCACAGCAGGGGGCAGAGCAGCCCTCAGTAGCCTGCAGCTCTGCCGCTGTCAACCACCTCCACCAAGTCTGGCCTCTTTAATGAGAGCATTCAACACCCCCCCCCCCAACTTGCTTGCTTTGCTACATTGGCTATTGCTGCAGGTAATGACAGTGTGAATAAATTGTCAATATTTGCTTGAGATAGTGCTTGCAGTTCTGGAGGGACTC